ATGATTGAATTACTAAAACAGCACAAAGTATTCATGTATCTTTGGATTGAAAAAACACGACAAAAACAATAGTGTAAATGCTGAGTCAGCTTTTAGATATAAACAGAAATATAGACATCGATTCTGGTTTTGAGTTTCTTTTAGAAAAAAAACAAGTTTATTCGGTTGAAAATATAAACATTTACATAATGCAAAATCAGACATTTGTAGGTGTTTATGACCTTAACAGATAAACTTTCAAAATAATATTTCATCTTTAAGTAAAAGAATAACCTCAAATTTTCTTTTTTTTTTAATTTTCCCACAAAGAAACCACAGTGTGCACACACCTTTTCATTTCTCTGTGGTGTTGAAGTTCAGACTGGGAACTTGGAGGACTCTGCTGTAAATGTGGGAAGCTGACATTGGTCCATAATCCAGGTCTTAGCAGAGAATCCCAACCATCCAAAGGAGCAACCAGCTGTGGTGATGTGTGCACAAAGCCTGCAGGTCGATCTCTCCTGACCAGCGCTGACCAGCGCCGCTGCAGCTAACGGGGCTAAGCCTGCCACAACACAAGCAGGCTGAGAGGTGCAAAGGAATGCCCAGACCTGAAAGCTCTCTTTGTAACCCTGTGATGATAAGACAAGAAAGAACAGAGTTTATTTAGACAGCAGCGTAAAGCAGGAGGATGTCGTATGAGAAAGTCCTGCAGCAGTTTAATAACCTGTGAGAAAAGACTTGCAGGTGGAGCAAACAGCTAAATGTTGACTTTACAGCCTGCTTGTGCAAACCTGCAGAGAACCAAAGTGAAACTTTGACCTAAATTATCCTTCTTTTATTTTTTTTAACTTTATGCACCTCCCATCAAATGTTCCTCGGTAAGCGTCTGAGCACCAGTGGAGTCAGCCTGCTGCGCTCGAACCTGCAGAGAAAATGTGTGACTGAGCCCATTTTCAAAACGCTCCAGGCGTCGGTTCATTCTGCACCACATAAAGCACATTTCTGCACACGGCTGTAGATTTACAGGTCAGGCTCTCTTATCAAATCGATTCTAATAAACGCTCACACTGTTGGCTCAGAGGCATTCAGCAACAAGTTAAAAAATGTGAGCATCCTCGGACAGAATGTTCAAAACCAGGAGGTGCTGAAAAAGACTTTTCTCTGGTTTAAAACCAGGAGTTTAAAACAATCTGTC